GACAACACCAAGTCAAGGGTTAAGATCCCCTTACCGGTCATCTTTTAAAAAAAAAGAAATTTGTAAGTCCTGAGGTGTGAGGGCGAAAAGCAGAACAGAAGGGGCAAATGCACTTCTTATCATGCGAGTGTAATTTTCTTATTGCCAGGCCAGTGACAGTAGGTGACAGATGGAAAGGTCACAGCGGGTCAGCTTCACACACAGAGGATATCTCCCTCCCCCCACTGCCCCAAGCCTGTTTCTTCTCCTTTGATGCTTGTTTCTAATAAGGATAGTTACTTGGTTCCTCAACCAAATAGCAAAGACAACTGAAGCTGGGGAGCCGGGGACAGAGGGCTCAGCGAGCGTGCTGGACCACGGAGGGTCTGGGCGCCAGGAGTGAGGGGTGCCTGCCAGGATGGCGCCAGGAGAAGGGGCACCGGGGAGCCAGAGCTGCCTGCCTGGAGTCAGGCTGGGGCAGAAACAGGCCCGGGGACCTGCATGGAGAGGGAGGGAGGCACACACCCCACACGGTTGATAGGAAGCTCCACTGGCTTAGCACAGTCTTGGAGGCTGCAGTAACAACTCCAAGTTTGAGAAAATACGTCACTAGGCTCTGTTTAATAAAGCTGGGAATGATGTAATTCAGATTTTGAAAAACATACGTTCATGCAATGTAGCTAAGCCAAGAACAGTGTTGGTTCTTAGAGTAAAGTTTTTGCTCTGTCCACCTTCCTTGTGAGCTGGAGGTGCAGGGGGAGCAGAGGAGGGAGAGCGTTTTCCAGCCTTGAACACGGCCCCTTTGGAGGCTGTGCCCTGCTGCAGGGAGGAGGTGCTTCCTGGGGGAGCGTGTCTGGGGACAGTCAGGGGTTGAGAACCAATGGTCCATGGTGTGGGTCTTTACCTCCTTGGAATCTTCCCATCTATAAACTAATACGATACAAGGCTTAAAAAAACTATCTCTAGGAAATAATCTAAAATCAAATGGAGAATATGTTTGACCCAGGATTTAAAATGCACAAACCAAAAGTCACTGGCATTTTCGGGTGATGTTGCTGGCCCCCCCGGCTTGCCTCAGGCCAGCAGCACACTGATGTGGACACTTGCAGTGTGGGTGGAGGGGCAGCCCATGGGCTAGGCACAGTCGCAGCCTTTCAGCACGGTCAGCGCCCTCCCCCCATCACACCCGTTTTTGCTGGCACCCGTACCCCTCACCCATAACAGTCAAGGGGAACATGGGCCAGAGAACGTGCTAGGCCCATGGAAGGTGCAGGGCTGCTCTGTACTTGCCCTGGCCAAGGTGGTGTGTGTGTGGGGGGGGGATGGGGGTGCGGAGGGCAGACTCTCCTACTATCTCCTTCTATCTCTTGTTCCATTTCTGCATAGATAACTCCTAGTCATGAGGTTCCTGAACAAAACATGTTCATTTTGTGCCTGTTCCACTGCTCAGATTCTCAGAGTTAATCATATTTTAAATCTTTGAGACTGTCAGCCTTCCCCAATTGCTTAACCATCGTAATGGAGAAAAGGTGGTGCCACAAAGACTAACA